CCCAAGAAACTGAACACCACATGATCCGAAAGGAAAAGAGACACCCCCGACCGGACCCCCTCAGAATAATTAATAGGGAGAAGACAGCCAGAGACGAGTACCCTCAATTATCGGTGATAATCGAGGAAAACGAGCAAGGAGTGTGGAGAAGCCTTCACTCGTTATACAGCTGCCCCGCGCGAGAGAAGTGATTTTGGAAAGAATTAAGAAAATATTGTTGGAGAGTTTCGGAGAGGTTTTTGGGAGACTTAAGCAGAAGAATAGTGTCGAGACCAACGAGCAAAGATCGAAAAAGGAAGGAAGGTGGAAGTGTGAAGGAATTGGAAAGGAATTGGAGACGAAATCGGAGAGAAAGCTCGGGAGAAAGAAAGTGTGCAGAGAGAGCAAGCGGAGAGTTTGGTCGCCATCACCGTGAGTACTCTTTGATGGTTTCCCTGGCCCAACGAAATTCACCCTGCCCCGTCTAATGATATCTACCCCAAACGGTGAGCCTCAAAGCCCAATCTCTATTTTCTTTCTTTTTAATGTTATCGGAATTACCTCATGGTAAGCCCTTTTATTAATTCCCCTCTTTCCCGTTTAACTTCTCCCCTTTTAATCTTTCCTATTAATTTATTCGCATTGCCACAAGTTGCCTGGCTTTACGCTTACCCTACAATTACTTTCAACAGGCCCGACATTGTTTATTTATGTTATATCTTTTTTTTCTTTTTATCAGTGGCAATATAGATATTGTTGCGTAACGCACCCCCCCCCCCCCCCAGTGATTTATTCTCTCCCTACGCCCCCTTTTCTTCAACCATTTTGAGGTCCACCCACGAAGTATTTAAGCTTCAAGTACTTTTTCCTCCCACTCCAGCGGTTACCGGATTTATCATGCTTTGCTCGCGAATTATTTTATATTAATTCCCAGGCCAAGGTTATGGTTTGTATAATGATATACTCATTTTCGCAACTAAGAAAAGATACATACTTTTTCAGTCGTTGCCACATCAAATAAGGAATATTTTTGGTTAAAAATCATACCTTCTAGATCCCGGGGATGCCTTAAAAAATTCTTACTCTTTCTTCTACATATAGCTATGTTCCAGCCACGTTGACACTAAACCAGTATATATATGTCACTTTATAGTTGTTAAAATATTAGATATTTCCGAGAATCCGTTATCTGTCTTGAACCAGTTGTTCAAGTAATGGACATTTTATAAAGCGAGAAGAATGGTGCCTATGGACCACGACTCACAAATTTACACAATAAATTATCAGACACTGTATCTAATAAGACAGTAGTAGTGTGCTAACTTCCCTCTGACCACCCTCTGAGGTCACGACTGGGCCTAGTCTGAGTGTACAGCTCGACTGCAACGACTGCGAAGTGCAACTTTAATTCAAGCCAACCAGCCCAACGTAAAATTTCGACTCTTGGTTTTCAACGAAGAGCCCTGCTCATTATTAAAGCCGAACCTTCGAGATTCGTATGTTGGAAAGTAGCTCTGCAACAACACCATCTCTTATCACGACTGACACATAGCTTGAGTGTGCGACTCAACTCTTCTTGTTACGTCAGATCATCAGGGCCAATTTAACTAAAATTGGGCCGTCTTTTGAAGTTATTAGTCGAGTGGTATCCAGCCTGTTGTTCAGTTGATTCTCTAAGAAGGAGACAATTCTGCAGAACCAGTTCTTGTTGTCGAAACAGGAGGCGCAGCTCACGGAGTTTTCTACGCCTAGCAATATACAGCTAGTGAATAACCAAGTTCTTCCTAACTGGACAACTCAGGCCTGTCGACACCAGCAACGCCTTCGGATTCATCATCACATCATCTTCATCGGCGCTAGAGAAGTGTGTTTGAGAAGTGTCACCTTCCCGAGTAGAAATTTCGTCGGTTTCACTTAGGTTACCCGTGCGTGGTGACCAACGTAGATACAGGTGACACATAGGTAACAACCGATAGGGCACTCACGAAAACGTCACGCAGTTAACCGACGAGTTACTCGTAGGGAGTAACCTACAAGGCACCTATGAGTAGGATCATACGTACCCTGTCGGAAACCTGTGAGAAAAAGGGTGGAATTGAGTTTATCAAATAACTCCAAAAATTGAATAGAAAATTTTTATTTTCAACACATCCATAAAAATATGTAACGAGGGATATTCTAGTTTCTAATGTTTTTTTTTTTACAAAAAAATACGGTCTCACCGCCCTCAACACTTTCTCAATCCACGGTAGAAGTCTCAGAATCATTTGATGACTCCTGTGGGGTTCCTCTTTCGGCCTCGTCATCAGAGTCCTCCAATGGTCTAGCACGGCCTCCACGCCAATATTTAGTGTTGTGTAAAACTCCCTGTAGGCCCTTGTTATAAGCCTTAGTCTTCAGTGGTTTATTTTTTTTCCGAATCGCCGACAGTAAATCTCTGTGAAAGTAAATTTTACGTTATTCATTTTTGTCAAATCAATGAGTCTAAAAAGTACTCTTCGCCATTAAATTAAGAAAAGGGTGTGAGTCACCAGCTGACTCAGCTAATTCTCGAGAATGGAATAAAAATTGAGCTTACTACTGTTTCTTTTTCTCAATGGTGATAATTTTTTCATTGATCTTTAAAGATTGGCAATAAAAAGTTT